GCTTATACTGCGTTTAAGTGCAGCATTTTATTTTAGCTTGGTATTGTCTTTTGATTTTATTTTACCTGACTCATTAAAACCGCCTGCTGAACTTCGTATAAATCAATTGCAACAAAAGCATTAAACAATGCTGGAAGAAGACGAGCTAAAGGTGTATATCCAATTGCAGCAATTGGTGGATCATAAAATATGTCTATAACGGGGATATTAATGATGTAGTTTGGGTTATTCATGGCATTACATCCAGTTGTGCCAATAGGAGAACCGTCTTTATTTACAGTCCCGAAATGCCACTATCATATAAAGAACCGGACTTTGAGCATCAAAGAAGTAAAAGAGTAGGAAATTTTCTTTCACAAAATTCAATCTTACCTTTTGCCTTGCAACTCCTTGTCGCCAAAGTATGGCCTAATATTTAACAATTTAAATATAAAGTAATATAATAATTAGAATTATTAGACAATGAGACATACCTTCATAGCCCGCTCTCTACGTCCTGCTGCGTCGTATGTAGCCAATGCATCGTAGAGTTTTATACCTAGAACAGATCGTACGTACGACTGTCGTTTCCAAAGCCTACACTTGTCCCTCAAGTCAGAGGAACTTTGAGCCACAGCTACTTCAAGAATTACCCTCGCATAAGGGTTTCCCTATATTATCAACCATATAAATATTAGTATGTAGAGTATCACGAAAAATACATGACAAATCAAAAGTACACTTCTGTCGCTGGGCGGTGGACCAGGGTGCTTAATGGGAGGATCTGGAACGTAAGTATGATGTGGATAAACAGCAAGATCTGGTGCTCTGCGAGTTCCATCTGGCGCGTCATGAACTTTGGAAAGGAACATTAATATTAGAACACAATAAGAAGTGAGAGAACAAGCAAATTGAGAAGAAATTCCATTACGTGGCTGCCCACGAATTTGTATTGGAGCATTATTTCGACTGCCATAAATGGCACGAGGACATTGTTCACGGAAGGCGTCTCCAATAATCTCGACAACTGCTTCATGTTCAGTCGAACACATTTCAACTATATATATGGTGCCCTTTTTATAATCAAGCTTGTATCCGCTTATCTCTTTGCTTTCAACGAAAGAATTGTATTTTTGCAGGGATATGTTTGAGGCAATCGGAAAAGGAAGACTGCATTCCACAAGAGTCAACACTGGGCGAACTTCAATACAAACTAGTGCAATGCATACTCACCTGCTTTCGTCTAACGGCTCATTTGGTAATTGAAGCTTCTCTGACGAAGACTCCTGAAAAAACTTAAGTATTTTATGAGCCATTTTTTTTTTTTATAATAAGAAGAACAGTCAGTTAAATTGCGATATTAATGATGTTAATGATATTAATATATTGATTAACTGAATAATAACGGTAAGCTTAATTTTTACACGAAATCTGATTAGCCGATCATCTCGTGATTGAGATAAAAAATATTTGTCACATCGTATCACACCCCTCAAGTTTCTGTTTTATTATTATTCAGGAGACTCATTTTGAGTGGCGAAATCTTATTTATTACACATCTATATGTCACGGTTTGAGTTATTTAGGGTTAGTGTTAGGATTAGGGTTAATTAGGATTAGTTTGGGTAGTTTGAATTAGTTTGGATTAGGTATTAATATATTATTGGTCAAATGTCATATACCTAAGCTTTTTTTGATAGTGTTGCTGAGAAGTTTGTAACTGTAGGACTTTATTTTAAAATACAGTAGTGTATCAAAATTCACTGGACACTTAAAATTAGAAAATCAATGGAAAAAAGTTTTTTTAAATAAAACTATTTATTTTATTAATTAAATCAATTTTATGAAATAAGTAAAGATATGTATTATAATACATATGTGTTAAAGTTTTTATAGATATTTGAGCAGTAATAAAATTTATATTATATATTTAATGCAACATTTTTATGTATTAATACAAGATTTTCATTAAAATAAAATATTGAATTTTTTAGCTATAACCTATTATATTTCATTAATTTAATTTGTTTATTGTATTAAAAAATATTTTTTTTTAATAGGTTTTAATTATTTGCATTTATACATGTGAAGATTGAATTGATGCAGTCACAAGTTACGTAAAATACTGATCTTTTTAGAATTTTACCAAAATTTTACATTTTATTAATTCAATTTTCACTAATAAAAATATAATTACAGTTAATTCTTGATATAGTGAATTCTTGATATAATGAATTTTTTGAACAAATATAATAAAAATACTCTTGTTATAGTGAATTGGCCAATAAAATCTCTTAAATTTTCACTATAGTCTTATAGCGAAGTTGAGGTCTAGAACATAGAGTTCATTATAGTAAGAGTTGACTGTATATTGAATTAAAGTTCTGAATAATTCAGATTAATTTGAAGATTTTTCAGTTCAGATTAATTTTAGATTGAAAATCAATCTAAAAATTTTTAATTTAATTCAGATTTTTTTTGGATTATAATTTTAATTTAAATCAAAAATTTAAATTAAACTGAAAAATTTCAGATTAATCTAAAAGTTCAATTTAATTATATGTAATTTTTAAAACGAATTCACAATTTATATGCAAAACTCTTTAAAAATTGCTTGTAAATTCTTTTTAAAGATCACGAAAAATTTGTAAAATTCTTTGAAAATTACTTGTAAGTTCTCTTCAAAAATCACAAAAATTTGCAAAACTCTTTAATATTCACTTACAAATTTTTTTTTAAGAATCAAAAATTTGTGAATTCTTTGAAATTTGCTTATAAATTTTCTTTGAGAATTGCATAAATATTAAAAAACTCTTTTAAGATTCACTTACAAATTCTTTTCAAGAATCATAAAAGTTGCAAATACTTTTCAAGGTTTGCAATAAGATTGAAATTTCTTTAAGAGTTTCACATATAAATTGCAAATTTTTTTTAAAATTTGCATATAATCAAACTGAAATTTTTGAATTAACCTAAAAATTTCAGTTTAGTTCAGCTTTTTACTAATTCATGATTTAGTTCAAATTCAGATTATCATTTTTAAGATTAATAAATCGAATTGAATCAAATTAAAATTTTGGATCAAATTTATATTGGTTTTAATTCAAACTGAACTGAATTGTTCAAAGTTTTATATTGAACTAGCATCATTTATAGATATCAAATTATTTAAATTAAATTACAAATATTATAGGAATAAATATATTTTTTTGAATATTTATATTGTAAAACTTTAATAATTACATCAGTTTATATTTCATAAGTAACAAGAAGTATTACATTTTTATGTATTTCTAGAGTAAACTTATAATACTATAATGTGAATATTTTAATATTCTCTACTAATTCATGATTAAACTTATTATCAACCTTTATAATATGAATTAGATTATTCTTTTTTTATTGATAAGCATTAATATGAAATTTACAATCATTATTATAATATTCTTTATTATGATTTTTATCTATATTGCTTTTTTTGTTAATTATATATTTGACCTTTTGAGTATACATAAATACGACATTAAAAAAAACTATTATTCTTATTTTTTTTACTATAGATAATTATAAATATAAAACCTTATTCTAATCTATGATTTTTAATCATCTTAAAATTAAAATAAATTTTAATATTAATATATAAATACAGGTGCTGATCAAAATTATGCGAACACTTTTTTTTACTAGAATTATACAGATTATCAAATAATCATATACTATATTTATCACTGATTTTTTATTTATTAATGTGATAAACGAATATATAAAGTTTTTTAACCTTCCCATTTTTATATTTTTAGTATGATAAAAGTTCCTAAAAGGTAGGGATGTTAAAAAATCCCATGGGACTAGGTTCTAAACAGTCCTACAAAATACAGTTCAGTTCAAGGTCTTTTAAACTATAAGACTGTAGTCCTATAGAAATTAGGACTTGCAGTCTTAGGATTCAGTCCTATAAAAATTAGAACTTGCGATCCTTGAACTGCAGTCTTATAGAAAAATAATTGTTCAAGAAGAACAATAATAAATCATTTGACTTGAACAATAAAAGAAATAATCGTTCAGAAGACAATGAGGAATCGTTCGACTTGAACAATAAAAAAGTCATTCAAGAAGAATGATAAAAAATCATTTGACTTGAACGATAAAAAAATCGTTTAAGAAGAATGATAAGAAATCGTTTGACTTGACTGATAAAAAATCATTCAAGAAGAATGATAAAAAAAAATCATTCAAGAAGAACGATGAGGAATCGTTCAACTTGAACAATTATTTTTCTATAAGACTATAATCTTAAGACTGCAGTTTTAGAACCTTATTCTAAAATCCAGTCCTAGGACCCAAGTCTTATGGACTGGGTCTTCTTTAGGACTAGGAGATTCAGAACTAGACTAGGACTGAACTGAAATTTAACAATCCTACTGGAAGGAAATTCTTCTGGAAAATTATAAAAAATTAATCGATAATATGTCATGGAGAATCGAAGCTGTTATTTCCACAAATAGTAATAAAA